CAGTCAGTGGAAGGCTACTTAGGTCATCCCCAGCACTTTCTTAAATGCAGCACTCTATACAACTATGACTTGGACTCTGTCCTAAGAGTGAGTATCAAAATGTCAGGTTCAATGTTGTGAAGCCAGTAGACAAAACAGACCTTTCCTGGGAAGTTATCTCTATGTCATGAAAGAAAAGAAGTCTACTTTTTTTATTTATAAAGTAGCTCCATTGTTTGATTTTTGTTATTTATTATAAGAAGCATTAAATCCAAAGTAATAAAATTGTTTAAAAATTAAGAGAAACCAACAAGTCAGTTCTCTTTCTGACGAAATGAACCATTTAGCAACAAAATAGGACAGAAAAAGACAGGACGCTCTACTGTGAGGAGACAGGAGATCCAAAGATCTGTGGCTATCCAGCTTAGCCAGAACAGAAACTTTCAGGTTCAGTGAGAGACTCAGGCTGAAGAGCATAAGGGAGAAAGCAACAGAGGACACTCGATGTCATCATCAGACCTTCCAAAACAACCACAGATGTATGTGCCCTCTGGCAGGCATACTCACACACAGACATAAATCCCTCAAATTATCAGTGATCAGAATGCAGTGAGGAGGACATCACACTGGATGAGGATGACATTGCCAGTTGGTTTTAAACTCTTCACAATAGCTGTTTAAATGAGTCCCACAGTTCTGCATAATTTTGGTAAAATTGCCTAGGGAAGCATGCTGTGTCTCTGCAGCTATGTTGATGCAGTTGGCTCAAATCTGTCACCCTGAACACTGCCTGTCATAAGCTCTTGCCTCATCTCTGGTCATCCAGTGAGCTTCTGAATGTAAGATCCAGGATGGGAGAACTGGCCAATGCCACTTACAGCAAGCAGTACTGACAAGCTGTTAATTTAGTTTCTGTCACTCTGAACCAAGAGCTTGGCCAGGGAAAGAGGACACCATGGCAATCTGGGAACAAGAGGTTAAAATGCCATATGACACCCAAAAAGATGTCGATGTGACACTGTCTTTGACTTTTTCAGCGGCGTTCCTCCTTCCATGCTGTGTCTGCTCTGATCTCACATGACCCTGCCAAGCAAATGAGACCCAGACCTTTGACCTGACTCACTCGATATCTGTGGCTCCCATCACAGCCCGGCTCCTCCCATGCTGACATACAGGTGAGTGATATGTGACTTACCCGTCTCCCTGAATGGACTGCAGCTTCCAGCAGAGCAGTTGGGTTTGCTTGCTATCAGAGGCTAACTCCAAGAAAGACTTGTGAATGATCACAGAAGTGAACTATTGGATGTTTTGGGTCAGGTGGATAAGTGAGTACATGGTTATATGAGTGTGTATATATGTGTGTGTATGGTCAGATTGATGGCCAGGTTGGCCCTGCTGCTGAAACCTACCTGCAGCTGCCTTGTCCAGAGGTCATAGATCTTCTCATGGGCCTCTTCACAGAGCCTTTTTGCCTCTGCATGCGACTCTTGTAGTAAAATCTGCTCCCGCTGCAGCTTTTTCTTGTCCTCTAGCAACATTTTCACTTGTTCTTTCAGCTGAGTCTGTTCACTCAGATGCTGACTGTAGAGGGTGCTGAAATATCACCAAAAATGATGAGCTCTGCCTCCATCTGCCAACCCTGCCTGGTATACCATGATTCCTGCAAGGTCCCATGTCCCCATCTCCAAAAGCCCTGGGCTGGAGCCCTCATTATCCATGCCAGAATCAGTCAGGTGCAGGCCAAAGAAAGAGAATAGCCAAATTCCAGAAAGATTTATACTACTTCTGAAGACCCTGACAGCAAAAGAGATCCATGTACCTCTGAAGACTGGATCTGCTACCTCCTGAACACACATCCTGGTACTTAACTGTTCACAGTATTGGGAAAACAAGAGCAGGTAGAGGGAAACCATGCTCTGAGGAAGAGAGAAGACCTATCTGGAATATATTCCATCCATGTGTCCCATAGAAACCAGCTGTCTAAGCTCCTGGCAGAGCCACAGAAGCCATGGTGCAAACTATGTTTTCTGTCTAGAAGTTCCAGAAGCTGACAGGAAAATGTTGGGAGGGGCTCTCAGACTTTTAACACTTAGGAGAACTCAGTCTAGGAGGCACAAGTCCAAAAGCTATAAGGCAGGCTGCTTGCTAAGAGGTAAACAGACTAGAACCACAGCCCTTACTTTGGTTCAAAGGTGGAGAAGGGAAGAAGATGCTGTAGGATGTCTTTCTGTATGCCGTGAATAGGTATTGCTTCCATTGGTTAATAAATAACCTGCTTTGTCCTATGGCAAGGCAGGAAGGAGCCAGGCAGGAAAATCCAGGAGAGACAGAGAAGAAAGGCAGAAGTCGAGGAGATGCCAGCTGCCACCCAAGGAGCAA